AAAAAAAAAAAAAAAAAGAATATTCAGTGTCAACAGTAATTCTATGCTGTCATATTTAAAAAATTGCGATTTTGCCAGGAATTAAAATCCCGCAGTCATCAACATTGAAAGTTAAAAACCTTGAAGTTAATGCTTTAGAATTGTCAACAGTAATTGAGTTTGATGACTGTGGGAATGCTGACAGTCCTCACTAATACTTATAGTAAAAACTAAAATATTTCTTTTAGTAACTGTCTATGAGGAAGACGAATGAATTACAGTTTCTATTTCGTTAACTACATAATGTCTCTGTAAATAGCATCTCTTTCTAGAACTTCTAAATTACTACAACGTAATACGCTTTCAGAGACAAATATTGATACAAAGAAAACAAAAGAAGATAAGCAAAAAAACTTATGCACATATAAGAAATGTTATTAAAATATCAATTTGAAAAGTTCTTTGTTACCATGGAAAACACATTCTTCTGTCGTTCCGTGCAATTGGAGGAAATCCAGTAACAACGATCAAAAAAAAATTTTGAAATCTTGCACTTTAAAGACTCCTCTGCATCATATGAATTTCGGAATACGGCTTGACTGTTTTTAGCGTGTATGTAGAACTTGGGTACAGAATTTATGACTAATATTTCAACAGTAGTTTACAATATTGAAGAAAAAAATGTGGAAAAGTGAGTTTTCTACAAAAATTTTGGCACATCAAAATGAAGCGGATTTTTAAAAACAGTATTTTTCTTCACGGCTAAACATATTTTTATAGGTTATAGTTGAAGCCCTTACTGTAAAAACGGATTATCTGATAGTCATAATTTGTGTTACGAATGAAAGTGGAATCTTGTTAAGCAGAAAAAGAACTTATAAACAGAAGTATAGTTAAATTGAAACTGAAATTATTTTTGGGAGGCTCTAATGTTATTTTTGGAGGTTGACGAGTCGGCTAACACCTTTACAGAAGAAAAAAAAAAAGAGCTGTTCAGAAGCATAAGCACCTAACCAAATTAAATTTTTCTTACCAAACTGTTTGTTTGCCAACAAATAACATTTGCAACAATCTGAAAAAAAAGCGGCAATTTTTTTGGGATAAAGCTGTGCTGCAAAAATTATAACTGTCTGTTAAAATTTGTTGGAAGGATGGCAAAATAAAGATTTGCATCGTTTTCTATTTTTTTGTTCCTAAGTTACCAATTATTTACACTGCCAATAAACAGAGAAATCACTTTCACTTAAAAAGCCATTTTCTTATAAAAGGCACTAGTTATGTTTATTTGATATTACTGCAAATTGTCTAAACTGCTTAAATGAATAATCATTTAAACCTTTTTTTTTGAGTCAAAACGAGCGCTGACCTTACTTTTTCATGCTCTGTTTTGTATTTGTTCATGAAGAAAAGAAAGAAAACAAATTACTTTAACAAAAACAATTTACTTTTGCAGTACACTGTTTACATTTTACATTTTGGGCAATAATAAGATACTGTTCATTTAATCAGCAACAGAAAAACTGGGCAACTTAATTTTTTCAATACTTGCTATGCAATTTTTAAATCACATCACATAATAAAAAATCTGGCCTTCATTAAATCCTGACGACCAATTTGTAGAAGCCGTGAATAAGGATTTATTATAGTTTTCATAAAAATGATTTTCAGGTAATTTATCAGTAAATACGCTATTAAAGCGCCAAGCGTTCTTTTATAGCAAAAACCACACTACTACTTTTAACAGTTACTGAAATTTCTTGTTTTTCTTTCTGACAAAATTTAATCTTTGTTTAATCTAATTTAAACCGTTTAGTAATTTGCAGAAATGGGCATACATGTGGAAAAACTCGGTTTGGTTGTTGACTGTAAAACTGCTCTTAATGATTCGCACATTTCGTATTGAGTTTGTCAGTTCAGAAGAAAGAAAAAAGGAAGAAGTGAAAAGAATAAATTAAACAGTAAACTTATAGTTAGAAAATATACTAATAGTACTTATCAAGTGATTAATAAGTATTCTAAGAAAAGGTATAAGAAAGAGTGAAAAACAGAAAATTTTAATTAGGAGCATTATTTGTTGGACAAGTAAAGAAGAGAGCAAAATTGAAAATAAAACGAACGATGCAGTTTCTTCTTCAAAGGACACTTAGTTAATCGACCTAATACGCACTGAAACAATCAGGTTTTCTATTTTTCAAACCGAAGTGTTTACGTCAAAATCCAATTTTTTTTTTTTTTTTTTTTTGATTGTCACCTCACCGAAT